AACTTTGAGAGCTCAATCAGCCGACCTTTGAGGCTTTCAGAAATTTGCGTTGCTGCTGAGCATGCTTTGCGGAATACAATTTCTGATGCAGAACTGTGGAAATCTTTGTCTTCTGTCCAGGAATTTGAGGTTCGTATCTTCTCTCAGGATTTATGTGTACCTTTGAATAGTGATGGTACTTGGAATAGAGTTCTGTATACTACATGTGAATAGGCATGATACTACTTATTTGAGTTCTGCATATATTTTATTTAATTGCTTGTGAATTGGACACCTTTACATGCACTATTCAGCAGCAGTTTAATCCTTAGTATTTATGTAGAGTCATGTTTTGTTTTATATTCTTCATTCTTTATGCAATTCTAATCAGTTTTAATCTCAGCAAAAATACATGGAGCTGTCAAAAGGAGCTGCCAACAACTATCATCGTTCATGGTGGAAGAGGCATGGAGTTGTACTTGATGGTGAAATTGCAGCTGTGTTCCATAAAAACGGAAATTATGATCTTGCTGCAAAATTGTATGAAAAGGTTTGTGCTCTTTATTCTGGTGAAGGATGGCAGAATCTTTTAGCTGAGGTCCTTCCCAATTTAGCTGAGTGCCAAAAGGAACTTGGTGATCAAGCTGGCTATCTATCTTCATGTGTAAGATTGCTCTCATTGGATAAAGGATTGTTCTCCAGCAAGGAACGTCAAGCATTTCAGTCTGAAGTGGTTCGTCTTGCTCATAGTGAGATGGAGAACACCGTGCCTCTAGATGTGTCCTCACTGATAACATTTTCTGGCAATCCTGGACCACCACTGCAGCTTTGTGATGGCGATCCTGGTACACTCTCCGTCATTGTATGGAGTGGATTTCCTGATGACATTACTCTAGAATCACTTAGTCTAACTCTCACAGCCACAACTAATACCGATGAGGGTGTTAAGGTATTCTGTTTTACTCTCTATCGCATCTCCTCAAGTAGTTTTTAGAAACTGTATCTTCTAGTGCAATAAGCTTTTATGAGATTTTTTCTCAGGCAATAAAAAGATCCGGTGAGACGATATTAAAGCCTGGAAGGAATACAATCATGATCAATTTACCTCCGCAGAGACCCGGTTCTTATGTTTTGGGGGTTCTTACAGGGAAAATTGGTTTACTAAGTTTTAGATCTCACAGCTTTTCAAAGGGTGCTCCTGCAGATAGTGATGATTTTATGAGTTATGAGAAGCCAACAAGGCCAATCTTAAAGGTAAAGGATATTTCATATAAGTGGAGAGACGAAAAAATGAATTGTGAAGGTTGGGATAGGTATTCCACAAGGATAGAGTGTCATCCTTCACTTCTATCCTCAAATATTCTTATTGATTTTTTTGTATGCAAATGCTCTACAATTTATTATACAGAATGATTATCTGAAATCTTTCTCAAAAAGAAAAATGGTCTTTCTCAAAATGATTATCTGAAAGGCCTTCTATATTTCTTGAACTTTTTTGAAAGGTGTTCAAGCCAAGGTCTCTGGTTGATCTTACTGCTGCTGTTTCATCTGCTTTATTGATGAATGAACCTCAGTGGGTTGGAATAATTGTGAAGCCAATTAGTTACTCTCTTAAAGGTGCAATTCTGCACATAGACACTGGTCCTGGGTTGACTATTGAAAAATCGCATCATATTGAAATTGAGAGGCACATGAATGGGCACACAAATGAGTTAGACCATTCTGAAGGTTCTAAAGATGATGACAGTTCTGCAGCTACTCCCGAAGTTAAACAAATGTCTCTTCATGATGGAAATATTGAGCTGCCTGGTTGGGCAAGCAACATAACTTCTGTTTTGTGGATTCCTGTGCGTGCTACCAGTGATGAACTTCCTAAAGGCGCTCCTGCAGGTGATAATTAATAAACTAGTGGTGGTTCAAACAGCATAGTCGCAGCTCCATAAATCTGTTTTTCCACTTCCTAAACACCTGCTTTACCTATCAGGTGCAGTTGTTCCCCAGAGACAGAACCTAGTGGAGGGACTGAGAACAATAGCTTTAAAACTTGAATTTGGAGTTTCGCGGAACCAAATATTTGAAAGGTTAACCTTCCTCATTTTTTCATTTCATACTTCTAATTTTTGATACTTTTTTATGCATATTCTTGTTAGTAAGACTAATCTGGAATCTAACTTCTTTGCAGGACAATTGCTGTGCACTTCACTGACCCCTTCTCTGTAAGTACACGAGTTACGGACAAAAGCACTGATGGAAAATTGCTTTTGCAGGTAATCTTTTCTGCCGCTTTTGTTTGGTGGTGGTTTTTTGGGGTGGGTGGGGTGTGGGTGTGGGCAGTTACAGGCTAGAGCAGTCATTTTCTCTGTTGATCAGTGGTTCTTTATAAGTATTTTTGGATGTCTGGATGTAATAGAAATAGAGAAGAAAAATAAATGACTTAAAGAGAAGAAAAGGCATAGGAGATGCAAGAAGCCATCTGAATTTGCATCCTTTGTGTTAGGATTACTGTTTCCAGAAATGCACACAATTGTCTCTGATGTCTGTAGTTCTGTGTTTTATAGAATTGTATCATTGCAGTGTCAAGAAATTGCATGACCTTCATTAATGTCAACTCTCTCATGGTTAGTGTTTCCTGCTTTGTCTAGGTGATCCTGCAATCACAAGTCCAAGCTACATTGACCATCTATGACTCTTGGCTTGATCTTCAAGAAGGTTTTGCCCACACTAGAAATGGTGATAAAAAGCCGATCTCTGGCTTCTTCCCCTTAGTGATCTCTCCGAAATCTAGAGCTGGAATTCTCTTCAGTGTATGCCTGGCAAGTGCACCAATAGGAGGTATGCCCTGCAATTTTCCCTCTTAGTCACAGACTCGGCAGTCATTAATTTTTGACTTCCTTTATGTACTGATACTAATAGTAGGGTGCCCAATTATGGCATATCATCCACTACACTTTCTGCAATACTGGGAAATCTTGGACAACATTTTGCCCTGCATGCTTTTGATTAGCCATCGACCAAAAGCAGAAAATAAGAGGAAATATCTACTGGAGTCTACTAAGGATATTCCTTTATGGACAGTTGATAGGGATAAATTTGAATTACACGGGGGAGGAAAATGCATGCTACATATTTTGAATTCTTGAAACTTATCTAAATATTTAAAGAAGCAACTTATGATATTTCATGACACTAATTTTCAGTCTTGCCTTTTCCTTTTGTGGTTTGCTTAGAAGAAGCTGAGATCCAGTGTCCTGAGAGCATTTTAAATATTAGATTTGGTATTTGGGGAAATAGAGCTGCTGGTGCCCATGACCCCAATGCTGAGGAACCTAGTGGACATGATGGATCGACTCAGAGTCTGATTTTCAAGAGCTCTCTTCTTTTACAGAGACCTGTGCTTGACCCTTGCTTTGCCGTCGGTTTTCTACCTCTTTCTTCAACTGATCTTCAAGTAGGACATCTTGTTAGCATGAGATGGAGAGTTGAAAGGTTAAAGAGTTTGGAGGAAAATGCAGCTTCTGAAAACAATGTAAGTACTGATGATCTGCAATCCTCTTTGGCATTTTCAATAACAAAGTTTATCAATCCTATCTGTCCATATAAATTGCTCAATCTTTCAATAGTCCGAAGCTTTTTTTACTGTTGGTTTTTCCTTTCTCCTTTTGATCAATCATCTGGGTGACTTACTGGATAACTCCCTCGAATTTCTCGACTTCTACTTTAGACTCGTCAAGAAGCTAATTATTTTCTATCGAAATTAAGAAATATAGAAAGCTATCTAATCGAGCCCTGGCTGCTGCTGCACATGTATATCTGTTTGATCTGGTTATTCTTGTAAATTTCTCACATCATGTAAAACTAACTTGTAATACCATATATGTCATAATGGGACAAAAGACTTCCTTTAGATGATAAGTGCCTCCTTTTTTGTTTCTCTTGCAAGGATGATGTTCTATACGAGGTCCATGCAAATTCAGATCATTGGATGATTGCTGGGAGGAAAAGGGGACATGTCTTACTCTCTACGGAACAAGGTCATTATTTTCATTGTTTTGACTTTCAACTTGTATTACAAGTGCTCTGCGGGTACTCATACTTGTTTTGTACTGTGACAGGATCGAGAATAACTATTTCAGTATTATGCTTACCACTGGTTGCTGGATATGTTCGTCCTCCTCAATTGGGGTTGCCAAATGTTGATAAGGCCAATATTTGTTGCAATCCTCCTAGTCCACATTTGGTGTGCGTCTTCCCTCCAGCTTTAAGTTCTTCTTTCTGCATACCACCCTGAAGACTTTGGTCATCCTTTCCTCCTTTCTCCTTAAAAGCATGGATGGTTTAACTTGAAAACTTGGAGTCTACCAGTGTTTGTACAATATGTATTCTTTTCTAAGTCGCAACGGTAAAGGAAGTGAGTTTTTTTAGTGTCAAAGATGTAGACCTAATGTACAGAGAACAGTTTTGCTTGTACAATAGATGAGATTCTGAGAGAGAATTTATTTGTAGACGGAACAACAGTAGTCGGGAGATGGATGAATTAAAGAGTTTTAAGTGATTATTGGTTTTACTATATTATGTGCATGTTATATGCCTTGTGCTTTTGAATTACTTAAAACTTGATTGTTGGCATATATTTTCTTGGTTGTTTTTGTGCTCCTTTTGGTTGAGCTAGATGATTTTCCGGTCTTCATCATGTATTTGACACTTTTCGGCGTATTGAAGATCACTAATAGATCAAATATAAGTCTAATTTCGTATATATAGGTGTTCTCCGACTCTCGAAACTTTACCTTTAGCCGGCTTTGGCCCAACTAGTTTTGAGTATGCAGGCCTCGATCTTTGAAAAACTCATAAAAAATTATTTAAAATATAATAATAAATTGCATATGACAAAGAAAACTTCGTTAAAATAGAAGAAAATATTAACAGAAGGACGATTTTAGTCAACTTTTCCCAACTTAAAAAATGTTATCAGTTAATATATGGATGTAATAATCATAATAATTTGAGGGGAAATATAGGAATCATTTACGTGAATCTGGGTTTAACTTCGTATAGTTACCCAGGCTCTGGCCCAACAGATTTTGAGCAGTCAAGCCCAATTTGAAATTCGGACCCCTAATTCCCTTTTTCGCCCGCCAATTTCAAATGTCGCCGAAGTAAACCTTTCCCCCGTGAATTCTTTGCTTCCCGGAACACCTTCAGGATCTCCACTGGCATGAAATTGTAAGTTTTCCTTCTCATGAATCATAAACCCTAATTCCTAATTCCCATGATAAAATTCGAATTTGAAATTGACGTAGAAGTACTTTGTGACTCCTTTTACGTGTAGAAATCGAAATTCTAATCTCATTGTTACATTTTTTACTAGCTTTCTATGATCAATTTTAATATCCAATTTAGTGTAAGTTTCAATTTTTCTGGAAAAAAGTTTTGTTTTACTTTATGCAGATTGAATTGTTATCAGATTGCCGAGACTTGGAATTTTGAAGTGAATTCAGGCTATAATTAGGGTGAGTTCAGTGTAACATCGTTGTATAGTAATACCAATTTGTAGGGAAAATGAAAAGAAAAATGGAAATCCCAAATTCAGGGGTTTCAATCTCAAAGAGAGACCTGTGAGAAAGAGGATAGCTTCTAGGAATTATGATGAGAATTTGATGGATAATTTCATAGATGAGCAGTTGGGTGGCCCAGTGACGAAGAAAGATTTGGAGAAAGAAACTGAAAAAGAGGCCTTGATAGCTCTTTCTTTGGGCTTCCCAATTGGGGTTGCCAAATGTTGAAAAGGCCAATACTGGTGTGCGTCTTCCCTCCAGCTTTAAGTTCTTCTTTCTGCATACATACCACCCTGAAGCCTTTGGCCATCCTTTCCTCCTTTCTCCTTAAAAGCATGATGAGCTTCACATGGATGGTCTAACTTGAAAACTTGGAGTCGACCAGTGTTTGTACAATATGTATTCTTTTTTCAAATCACAACAGTTAAGGAAGCAAGTTTTTTTTAGTGTCAAAGATGTAGACAGAGAACATTTTTGCTTGTACAGTAGATGAGATTCTGATGTGCATGCTCTGACTATATGCCTTGTGCTTTTGTATTAAAACTTGATTATTTTTTTCATATCTTTTCTTTGTTGCTCCTTGTTTGATCTTTTTGGTTGAGCTAGATGATCTTCCAGTCTTCATCATGTATCTAACACTTTTCGCGTCATCGTCCGAGAATCATCCCAGTGATACTATAATTGTTTGTCTATAGATAAAATAACCACTTAAAATGCTCGTGTCTTCCAGATTTGAAAATAATTTCAATTAGTAGTATTTTATCGAATGATGTCCCTTAATTAATTTTCTACTGAAGAAACTTTTTATAGGTTGTGTGAGGTATTGTTTACACGATTAATATACAGAATCAAATATCTTCAAAAACAAAAACAAACAAAAAAAACTATTGAGTGGCCATTCTGTTATAAAAATCTAATCTTCTATCTTTAGAAAATCAGAAAAAAAGAATAGGTCCCACCGAGACTTGAACTCGGGTTACTGGATTCAGAGTCCAATGTCCTGACCACTAGACCATGGGACCTTGTTGAAAATTTAAGATAAACAATATTTATAAATCCAATTAGAAAGTACTAACCCCTTCCCACACCCCTAATTACCAAGAAGTATGATTTACACCATAAATTAAGCATATCTTGAATTTATCATGTCATAAAAGTTCATTATTTTCTTCTTGAACGAAACATTGTAAAGGTAAGGTTGTATACACATCACTCTCTCTAGCCCTTACTTATGCGATTACCCTGGATATGCACTCTCTCTAGAGAGTTTTTATGTGATTACCTTAGATATGTTGTTGTTATTATTGTCGTAAGGAAAAACTTGAAAGAGAAAGGCAGGGAGAACTTTGAAAGCAAAAGAGGTTTACTAATCCAACATTAACCATGTTTTAAGGACCCAAATATTCCGGCAAGTGTTAATGTAAACACACAAAAATCAGGAGAGAAGGAATAAATTAAGGTATGTGGTCTCCATCAACTCTTCCACATGCTAAATCTATATTGATAGTTGAAACGTTGTAAAAATATAGCTTTTATATCGGTATTTATCTTGGTATAGCATTCGCAAAAAGCTCACACTTTATTTACGTTATTCTGTCACCTAAAAGACCTAGGACTGAAAAAGTCATTCGGAGCACATGCCTATTTAATTGCTAGATTAGAGTGTTTAAACTTTTGGATATTATAATTGGAATTAAGTAGGCATTTTGATTAATGGACGATACAAAATTAGGAGAGAAGAAATATCATAAATTGTTTGGTCTTAAATCTTAATCAACATATTTATTATTTAGGTGGCCATTTAATATTCCAATTTATATTAGCCAAATCTGTTTATAATGATAGCTCAAACATCAATGGCAAGCACAAACATTGTCCAACTCTGAAATGTAGTTGAAACACCTAAATCATGAAATACTTTTGTTAGCAAATCCTTGTAATCCTACCAAACCTACAATCAACATCATTGTTGTTGTTTTAGTTGGTTTAGTTTGTCATTAACGATACGGGCGAATATAATAGAATTTTGTAAATTTTGTTTGAATCTTATGTATATTTTACTAAATATTTATAAAATTAAAATGTAAAATCGAATTGCTAACGTATAAAGTTATTATCCTACCATTATCAAAATCAAATTTAAATTTTGTGTACACGTCTATCAAACAAAAGCATTGTCCCACTCATGATTTTGATTTGTCACGAAGCGTCATGAGTGATGTGTATTTTAAATACAATAATAAGGTTATTTTTATATTATAAAGGCTAAAAAATTCAAATTGCATCTAAATTTTTCTATCATTGCAATTTATTACTTTCTTTGATAGCATACATACAATGATACAAATGGAAAGAGGCTACTAAGGGAAATAGTAATATTGAACTTATCTATTACTCTATGTTATGCCCATAATATTGAACTACCAAAAGTTATAATGAAATAGTAAATTGGAGTAATATTCTTTCATTTTAAATTAGAGATTTCAGATTTGAGCATTGAATATAGAGTCACATCTGCTAGAGATCCATAATGAAACTTTTCAACGCAAATGCAAATTAATTAAGTCCCAGAACGAATATTGAATACCATGTGGAAAACCAAAATCCTATATGCCATGCCCATTAAAGTTCCCTTATTCAAAATCATTACTTTGAACTTTTCTTATGGAGGAAAAGATATATATATAGGGTCGATTTCAATATTCTTTTGTTGTGTAGGACCTATATATATGTATGCATTAGTCATTCGTTTCTCTTGCTTTCACATGTAGTCAAAATTTTATGTGGTTTATATTTATTTATTTTTTAAAAACCAAAATAATAATCTTCTGTTATATAATTTGTTTCTAAGGATATGTATTTCATTATTTGATCTTCTTCATTTTTATATTAATTATAACATTATATTGTGCAACCTACGTGCATGCCACTTAAATAAACGGTGTAGATATTTGTGCTATCAACAATTAGGTTAGGCAAAATCTTTCCATCAATACATTTATTGCAAAATATTTTTAAAAAAAATCATATTTAATTGGTCAAATTTTAATTTTCAAAGAAAAAAGGTTCCTTAAATATCAGGAAAACGACTTTTTTGATAAGAGTACGTAAGAAAAATAAATTCCACAAGTGACATTTCATGATGATTATCCCCTTCCCACCCCCAACCTTCATACTATTTGTCTATATTATATATAAATACTTATAAGATAATAGTTTTCACTTATTCACAAAATACCAGAAACTAAAAGTAAGAAAATCATTTATTTTTCGAAAAAATATAGTTGATTTTTTTTTTCCTTCACTCTAAACAAACATAGCCTCCTCTACCATTCAAATTCCATTCTACAAAAGGAGTAAATGCAGAAAAGACTTTTGAACTAAAATAATGTTCTTTATAATGTCTAATATGTGTAGGATAGAGACTAGACAAGGACCTCAATTGCTATATCTATTAGCTTTTTTTTCAACCTTTTATCCAATTATTCAAATACCTAACCACATGTTATTATTAAAAAGAGGTCCCAATTCTATTGTCCTACGATACTATGGCCTATATATATATATATAATATAATATAACATTCAACTTCATTTTCACCATTCATATGATTTTCCTAGTAAATGAAATTTTGTCAATTTTGTTGACAAATGTTTTTTTCTTTTCTTTTGTGTTTGACAAAATTAACTAGCCTATGCACAAATTAGTCAACATATATATAATTATTGTCTTGTCTAGTTATAAAGAGATTAAATTAAGAGCATATATATATATTATGTTAGAGGCATTTAAGAAAATAATGAAAGAATACAAAAAAGTTTTAAATCTTAATACAAATAAGATAAAAGATCATTGAATAAGTGTGAAGAGAGTTTGTTTAAAGAATAAGTGTTAAGTTGACTACCATGAACAATACATTAATTTGTTATTAAAATAATTTGTGCTTAATTTGATCACATTTGAGAATAATTAGTTGATTTAAATTTCAGCTACATTTACAAAGTTGTGATGTAGTGTTAGTATTCATCCTTTCTTAATTATAAATTTTAAATGTAAGGCGTGAAAATGAAATCTGTTTTAATCAGGACCGTCTTCTTTTCAAAATAGTCCACATAATTATTATTTTTTAAAAAACAGAAAGTAGTTGTTATTTAATAATAGAGAGAATATCATAATTATAGTATTTAATTGTCAGCTTTAAATTTCTTAATGGTTTATTTATCCACATCTTATACTCTCTCCTATCAAATTGTATCTTTTTTTCTTTTACATCCCAAAAAGAATTACATATTCTTATATATAACAACAATTTATCTTTAAAATATTTAATTTATTCTTAATGTTACAATATATAGTCACATACACACATATATATCCTGCTCATCTTTTGTATCAAGAGTCGATTAAAAATATTCTCTCTACGTTTCACAATAAAAGGTTCGAAACATGTTATTTTTTTCAAATCTCACTTACAAATTATATTAAATATATTATTATTATTATTATTTTATATCTGATCAAATATTATCACATAAATTAATAACTGGCTAACAAAAATGGAAAAAAGTCATAAAAGTCAAGATTTGAAATATAGAATTTTGCAAATGCTGGTAGACAGGAGGACTGGTAGAATTTAATATTTGCTAACTAACTTATTTCCACGTACACTTCTAAAATCTAAATTTACCACTAATGATTTTCAGGTCCACAATTATTTTTAAATTTTCATTGAAGTCATTTCTTTTTCTACTATACGTACGATAATGACCCCCCAACAACTCCAAGCCTCACTTATTTACCCAAAAATAATAATTCTTCATCCTAATAATATGACTTCAAAATAAAATAAAGTTTAGATTTCAACTAGACATTTGATACTTTAAACCATTATGTTTAACACCTTTCTAAGGAAGTAATAATCTTGTGTGTCCATTTACTTTGTGTTAGAGTCAACTTTCACATATTTTGACTAATTTCATGAGATATATGTTATCTTTTATCAACAACATGTAATATATAACTCTATTCATCAAAGCTAATATAGATGCAAATAAGTCTTGTATGTCCACTTTACGAATAGAGGAATGAGAAAGGTCATAATTAACTAAAATAACATATATAATAAATTATAGGGATAAGAGTCTGAAAAATACTTCAACTTTGGTCGGATTTGCTGTTACGATACTAAACTTTCATGAGGACCTATTACTTCTCTAGAGTATTTGATACCATATTTTAAACATATATATTTGCCCACGTGGACATAAAAAATAATGCAAAATTATAAATAGTAATGTGTCCACGTGGGCACATATATACCTTTAAAATACACTATTAAATAGTTCAAGGGGTAAAAAATACGGTATTAAATAGTCTAGGGAGGTAATAGGTCCTTATGAAAGTTTAGTATCGCAACAGCAAATACGACCAAAGTTGGGATATAATTCAGACATTTATCCCTAAATTATAAAATCAAATCTTTCCAACTTCGTAACTTAATATACTCATGTGATTTAGAATAATTGTTCTACTCGTTTGAGTTGTTTCAAGAAGTCAGATGTTTTTCTCGAATCAAAATGTTTAATAATGTGTTTGATTATATTTACTTGTCAGGTTTATATGAAATATTTATTCTCACATAATATAATACCAATTAGTAGAGCAATTTAGAAATATTAATTAAACTTATATATCAAAAACATTATGTACAAATGACAATAGATTATCATATATATCACCATATAAAGAAGAGCAATTTCAGATTTCCTCATCAAAATGGGGAAAATTACATTCTCTATATATGTCATTTTTCTTAATTTTCCAAATTTGAACTAATCTAGTAGATATTACTACTACTATCATTAATTGCATCTGGGTCCACTTTGCTTCTCCAGATTGTCATATAGGCCCCTACAAAATTAAAAAAGTAGAAAACAGTACCCATTACTTATGCTATTATCACTTTCATATTCATATGTTATATATTTTGCAATTTTATCAACAAAGATTGTTGAGTCTCCAATCCAGTCTAACTTCATTGGGTCCCACAAAATGCTGACTTGGCTTGTTGAATACGATGACGTGGCTGTTGACCATAAACGCCGTGACCCGCTCCGAAACCCGAATATCCTCCATCTTCAATTCCTGCAGTCTCTTCACGTACTCCGGCGCGTGCACCAGATCCCACACCACCCCAACGCCGCCGGGTTTCAGCACCCTCACCACCTCCCCCAACACCCTCATCCTCTCCGCCGCCGCTACCGCCGTTTTCTGCCCGAACTCCTTCCCCACCGTGTGTACAAACGCCGCCGACGCCACCACGTCGAAGTAATTATCACTGAACGGAAGTTTTCTCGGGTCACCTGACCGGCACGTGACGTACTCCTGAACACCTTCAATCCCGGCAGTTCGGAGAGTAGAGAGAGAACAAGTCGGTGTTGGATGTAACCCGACGACCCGACCGGATGACCCGGATTTCTTCAGCTGTAGAGCGACGGCGTTGAGGAGGATCCCACGGCCACAGCCAAGGTCAAGAGCATGCTTAACGGAAGACCAATCACCAACGGCGTTCACCATCCTCTGTGCCATTTCCCAGTGAAGCGAAACGGAGGAGTAAAAAATGTTGCCGGCGGCGTAGAAAAGGCAAACGGCGGAGAGTGCAGTGACGGAACCGGTGAATCCGGCGGCGAAACGAGCTGAGCTTAGGCCAGGTAAGAAATGGTGGAAGAAATAGCAGATAGGTTCGAAATAAACTAGAAAAATCACAGACAGTATAGAGAAGAAGATAGCATAAATTAGCAGAAATATCGGGGTTTGCCAATCATCAACACCGTAAATTGAATAGATCTGTCCCCAATCTCTACCAGCTTTCCCCATTCTTAGCTTAATTAACAATTCGCCATAGAAACTTCAAAAATCTGCAAAAATCTGTTAAAAAAAAAAAAAACCATTAACATTTCTGTCACTATAAACCAAAAAGAATAGAAAACGAACAAACAAACAGTGATTAACAGCAACGTACGGTGATTTTATCAGATCCCGAAGCAATTAGACAAAGAGTTAGTATACAGCACGATGTCAGATTTTCAAATTCTGATGGATGAAATGAGTATTAATAATGGTGATGTAATGCCGCGTTTGTTTGTTTGATTGATTCGTCAGATAATGGAGAGTGCTCTTTTGATGAACAAGTTGTTACCAGTGCCCAGTGCTGTGTGGGGTTTGTTCTAATTCATACTGTATTTATATATGCACAAACGCAGAGTTGTTGGGTATGGATCGGGTCGGATAGAGATGGAGTTATAATATTAAGTATGCATTTAATATATTTTTTGCTTAGATCTTATATGTATTTACTATGAAATAGCCGGAGTATTTGCTTAGATCTAGTATTTAATACTATGAAATAGGCGGAGTTAAAGATTTTGAATTTACAAGTTCTGAAAAATTAAAATATATTTCATTATTTCAATTTGTTTGTCTTATTTCCTTTTAATTGGTTTAGAAAATTAATGTTTTTTTTTCTTGTTTTGACTTTTTGACAACTTTTTAATCTTAATTTTTAATATCATGAAAATTAAAATACATGCAATAATGTATCTTTAATGTAAGACCAGAACAATTAAATTAAAACGAAGGGAGGTTAAAAATAATTATTATTACATTTAAGTAGATCTTTAAACATAAATATAAAATATCAATTAAAATTATTGAGTTTAGTCAAACATGTAGAAAACAATTAATATTACATGTAAGTAGATTTAAAAACATAAATATAGAATCTAAATTATAATTATTGAGTTTTGTTGAATATATAGAGAATAATTATTATTACATGTAAGTAGATTTAATAAAACATAAATATAAAATCTCAGGTAAAATTATTGAGTTTAGTCAAACATGTAGAAAATAATTACTATTACATGTAAGTAGATTTAAAAACATAAATATAGAATCTAAATTATAATTATTGAGTTTTACCGAATATATAGAGAATAATTATTATTACATGTAAGTAGATTTAATAAAACATAAATATAAAATCTCAGGTAAAATTATTGAGTTTAGTCAAACATGTAGAAAATAATTACTATTACATGTAAGTAGATTTAAAAACATAAATATAGAATCTAAATTATAATTATTGAGTTTTGTTGAATATATAGAGAATAATTATTATTATATGTAAGTAGATTTAAAGACATAAATATAAAATCTTAGTTAAAATTATTGAGTTTTACCGAATATGTAGAAGGAGTTTAGTTCCATCACCACTATTGAGAAATCTAGTGGGTGATATATATTTATATAAATATCCAATTAAAAACTTGATAATTAAAATGACTCAAATAATAAATTTCAAATTTTGATTACGCCATTTAGAAGATGGTGGGGCAGGAATATTGAAAAAATAGACAAATTAAGTGACTAACTCCATAGTTTTAACAAGAGTCGTCCATATGGAGGTGTTGGATTTGATCTTTACACTATCCAAAATCAATTCCCTAAAGGCCTGCCTCCTCCTTTTTTTTCTTTTTTATTTTATATATATAAAATATATATCAAACGTAACTTTATTTTTTTCTTAAATATTATTGAATCGAATTCACCCTATTACTAATGCTAGTTAACTTGTATGTCCATTAATTAGTCCAAAACGGCAAGTATTTTGAGTAGAAAAGATCACTTTTCATGCTTTGTGTTGTGGACGTTCATATCATAAGAATTTTCAACGAAAAGGAGTTAATTTGTATCGTGAGAGTTTTTCACGTATCGATAAATGATAAATCATGATTGCATTAGATTCATTTTAGCAAATGTTTTTTACTATAGAAAAATAAATTTGTAGAATTTATGTAGTTATCTGTCAATTTTTACTTTTTTGAAAAAGAAAAATATCGAACGTCCAAATTCACACTGATAATTTATGGGACCCATGTACTACAAATCATGTACTAATTCTTTTTTCTTTAAAAAAAAGAAAGAGTAACTATGTTTAAATGTAGGTAAAGTTTCAATGTTCAACTGCTATAAATATAAAAGAAAAAAAAAAGTAAAGACATCTGTTCACGTAATAATTAGGGGTAATGAAAGCCTAATTCAAAGTAATATATATAGTTTTAACTTAAATATTATAAGTTAGAATTTTAACTCGCATATTGTAATTTAAAATTTTAGTTGAATTCAGTGTTCATCAGAAATAATCAATTTATCTTCATAATATAAGACATTTTTTTATCAGATATCTGATATTTATATTGAAGTCTGACTAATTCAGATTTGTGTTGCATAGGGCCTCATTTACTCAAAGTTCGAACCCAAAACTTCTAATTAAAGGAGGAACAATCTCATCCATTACGCACTATCTTTTCTTGACTATAGAATTTGTATTTACATGTTTTATCGTGTTATGGTATATTATATTATTATTAGCATACTAATAAAATGTTGTTAGCAATTAGTCAAAATCAACAAGAGAATATGAAATTCCATTGATGATTTTAAAAGTATTTTGTGGAAAAATAAGATTGTGGGACTTGCGCTAATCAAGGGATTGTTTAGTCAATAGGAAACAAGGATAAACAAAATTATTATATCTTATTATTGCAATCTTCTTTAACAATATGCTTTAGGAGCCAAGTCATAACTTACTTCTTCAATATTCAAACCAAAAAAAAAAAAGTTTCAAGCAAGGGTGCTAAAAGGAGCAAATTTAATTTGATTAAATTTAAACGAATTAAAATAATAAATGTACGGATTTACATTCAAACAAAAGTTATTTGGAATATTGAAATGAAATGGGTTAAATGGGGTCATTTGTGCCTTTATTTCCATTTTGTGTTATAATATCTTATCGTTATATTCCGCATGACTTTTACCCTAAAAAACTTAATTTCACTGCATGACATAAATTTGATTGCTAAAAGATTTTTAAAAAAAAACATTTGAAGGGTAATTTGTGCAATTTCATTGTAAAAATAAGCTAAACAATGAATTACAATTCTTACTAAATTTTAATTTATTTGTTTATATTTTTATAATTTAATTAAAGTACTTAATATAATTTTTCTTTATAGTTACATATACAATTTATAAATTTTTTTAACAGGTCAGTCTAACTTTTAAAATTGATTAAATTGAACGAACCAAAATAGATTGAATTAATTATAATATAACTTATTCAAACTTCAAAATATTCCTCAATTCTTTTCTTTACTTTAAAAAAATAATATATCCTGTAATGTATCTTTACGCTTTAGTATCAGTGATATCACTCGGTTTCAATTTCGTTATCACTTTTCTTCTCCGTTAAATTTAATTAATTATTTATGAGAATTTTTTTATTATAAGATGCCACTTTTTTCAACACGCATTGCGCCATAAGACAAATTCAGCCTTCCTTGCATGATTCGTGCATTATATTAAGGAGCTCATACAAGGGCTTTTTCGTCATTCGGAGGAAATAGTACATTTGATTTATTCTTTTCCTTCAACATTTATCACTCGGAGTGGGGAGCGGATCTAGCTGGGTTCATCCAAATTTCTTTCGATAGAAAATTATATTATTTATATATATAATTAAAATTATTTTTTATGTATATAGTATAGATGTTGAACCCTTTTAGCTAGTTTTTGTGTTTACTTCTTTAAATTTTAAACCCTCTCAGTAAAAATTCTGATTCTGTCGCCGCTTAAAAAAATTTATGATATGTATTTTTTAGTCCGTCTCAAATAAGTAAGTATTGATTTAAATTTCGCAATATATTTCTTCAACTTTTAACTATGTAAAATTGTGATAGGATGGATCATAAATTTGAATTCGACCTTTGACAATGAAAAAAAAAACTCTACTAAAATCCACTTATCCATTTAGTTGTCATATATGAGGCCAAAAAGTCGAATTTCTTGAGCTCTGATTCGAATATCAAATACTGAACGTTGAATTAGAAAACAAAGCAAAATCATATAAATATTTATAACTTGTTGGGAAATATACAAGTTATAAAAAAAATCTATTTAAAACTTCATATTCAATCAAATGTTCAGTAAAATATGGACGGACGGATAGAGTATTGTAGTAAGAATTTAAAATAGAGATAATGGATTATAAAGATGAAGAACGAGGGAATGGCTAAAAATTGACCTAAAGTGTTGATGGGGATATTTTTTAGAATAGGTCTTTTTTTTTTCTTTTTTTCTTTTTTATATTTGACGGTGCTTTAATTTCCTAGTAGAATATTTATTATGCATAAAATTATCTTTTTTTTCCCTTTTTCAGCTCTTGTTTTAATCACAATGGAAAAGTTTTTCCAATACCTTTTTCTTTTTGGTGCAATGAATATACATCACTTTAGTGATTACGTATTTGATAGAATTCAATAATTTTAATTTTAATTTGATATTATATAAAAAATGTTACTACTCAAAATTTATAAATTAAAAATTCTATTTTCGATTTTTTAATTTATGGACCGAGAAGGTGATGATAAAAAGTCCAAAGTGAAATACACGATCCTATCCAAAAACTTAGAATTTTACTAGTTGGTAGGAAAAACACACATAAAAAGACAAGAAATGCCTCTCTGTATCCCAGTAATTGTAAGTGCCCAATCATCAACTAATAAGATACTATTATATTTGGTTGAAATATAAAGAGGCATAAAAAAAAGAGGATAAAAGAGCATGTTCACACGATTTGTCACATATAATGCATGTATTTCACGCGATTTACTATATAGAACGTATTAATTTCACATAATTTATTATGCAGAATGGACGCATTTCACGTAATTTGCCATGCATCTTACGTGATTTGTCATATAAATCACATAAGACAGTATGTCTTTTATGTAATTTAATGCATGCATCTCATGCAATTTGTCATATATGATGCATCATCTCACATAATTTGTCAGTTTAATATGCGTATTTACTTGTTTAATTTTATGATAATATAAGTATGTATACTTTGTGCATACTACGTTAAAGAACATAATTATATATTATACCAAAAGACTAATATAAAAGTTTGAAATTTTTTCTTTGGTATTAGTTTTAATAAAGATTTTTTTTTGTGTGAAATTTGAAATTATGGAGTAAAAATCATTATTTCACTGACATTTCAAAATATTGAAGTTTAACGAACAGTAGGTAGAAAATTGAAATAACATTTGATGCCCAAGCTAGTTAATACTCCCGTGTTCACTTTTAATTGTCATGTAGCATTTTTTGA